ACTTTGGTACTCACATGAAATGTTGTGCAAGTACCACAAGTTCAACAACGCCCAACTATGGACAGCTCAATGTTAATACCATTTACTCTTTGAATTAGCGTACACCAACATGATAATCTTCTAAGAAACACCTAAGAATGTATAGGGATAAAGCTGAAAAATACAGTTTTAACTGATGGTACTTTATAAACATCAAACTGTCCAATGTTGGACCCTGCCAACCAGCGTTGCCAGTATTCCAGATTTATCTGGATTTTCCAGATTTTCAGTTGTCTTGCCAGATACACAGACAGACCACGTATATTTCCAGATTTTTAAAATATGTTCCAGATTTTCCCAGATTTTTATAAACAAATTGCTTTCAAAATTGATTTACCCTCTAATAAAAAAAAAGTAAACTTACTACTTTAATTATTAAAGGCCATCAACGTTGACAATGATTGCAACATCGCTCATGGAATTGTTACAACATGTTTGCATGTTAATGGGCTGCAGAATCATGAAAAATGAGACATTTCCTAAAGATTATTGGCTGAAAAAACCCTTAATATTTTTTTAAAACATGGGGCCTGGATTATTTTTGGTTTGATTTTGGCTATAATTGATTTTTTTGGAATCCTGGATTAGAAAATCAAAAGTTCAATATGCGGGAATTTACATAATTTTGCAATTTAGAGAAATCAAAAACTGTTCGGGATTGAAAACAATACATTGAGCATTGGAAAATTAGCAAGGATTGAATCTAGACTACTACCAGGATTTTGAAGTATGTTCTTGAGATTTTTGAGGATTTAATTTAAGAATTTAAAAGGCATTTTTTTAAGTACCCTTGAATATTGAGTTAGAAGTTTGAATTACTTTAGGATTCTGAATTGCCTTAGAATTTCATAATTTTAAGTATAGCGTGAAATGAAATCCTTGTGAAATCCTTGTGAAATCATAAGAGGATTTCAAGTTTATTCTGAGTAGAGTTCCATAACTCTGATGACAATTGCTTGGCAATTTTGCGAAGAAATTAAATATAATTCGGAAGAGAAGTCATAGAAAATTCTTATGATGATACTTAAGGAACGTTGATGGCAAATTCAAGGAAATGCTGGGAGAATTTGTATGGAAATCTGGGAGGAATACAATGAGTATGCTGATGCAAATCGTGAAAATAATTTCAATGGAATTCTGTCCAAGGTTTCTAGGGAGATTCATTTTAGTTAAATTTTAAGTAAGAGTGTAACGGTCATTCTGAAGAGTGAAATTTTCAACAATATTCTAAGCGAATTTCATCGAAAAATTTTTGACAAAATAATGCGAATTGTTGGGAATTATTACCAGTTTGAGGGAATTGTGGAACTGTAGAATGATATCTAAGATATTACAAGAGATAATGCGTACCAAGAGAGTTTTCCTGCACTGAAAATATATTTTCGTTAATACTATTACGCTCATTTCATAAATATGGGTTTCGTAGATAAAACAAATATATCCCTAATTGTGCAAAACATTCGTATTGCATGTTTCAAGCTACAATGCCAACATTACGCATAAAATATACGAACTTTATTTCGTACATTCGCTCCGACGTGGAGTAAAACGTCAAAAAACGTAAACTAATGCAATCAAGTCAAACAAAAGTAGTGAAAAGTTTCCTTAGTGCGTGAACACAAAAGTGCAACCAAGTGTAAATGTCGATGGTTCCAATTATATTCCGTGACTGGTGGGATGACATCAAGGATACTGTAATACGTACTTCTTGAATTCAAGACCAGCACTTTGGTAACGGAATCAACTCGGATAAGTTGACAACGGTAATTTATCAAGATATTTGTCGAATATTCCACTTCAGTGACACTTAAACTTCATTGTTTTATTTCCTCTCTCAGGTATTGGCGCTCGATCAGGACATTGGCAAAAGTTGATGGGTAACCTATTCCATCAAATTCGGTCACGGGAAGGCGATACAATTCCGCATCGACGGGAATCAAACTTCACGGTCGGCCCTTCAGAACCTTAGGTGGACCATGTATATTCGAATGAGGCTCAATTTCAGCATCAGCCCAACAGGAAATCGGTCGTCGGTCAATAAGGACCTATGAAGACCATAAATAGGATGTTGTGTGTGCAGTTTACAGCTAACAGAAATGTCGATAAAGTCTTCCTAAAACAGCATCATCAGCATCGAGAAGAAACAGGACGAGCAAGGTTGCGTTTCGAGTTATCACATTCGGTGCAACATCCTTCGGTTAAGCCACAACGCCTTTAAGATCAAGTCTCTGAATTCTATTTTAATTACCTTGCCCTAAGAATAATAATTGTAACTGTTGTTTTTAAGAAGAATAAATAATTTTCGTTTGTGTTTACTGTAAACATTGTTTTGACGGGCAAATTTGCATGAGTCAAACGAATTCGAAAAAAATACGAATTGATTTCGTTCGTTCGTTTCGTATATAACACGAAAGCCAGAGAGACGGTTTTATTCATCTACGAAATGTTCGTACAATGTATGCATGATGTTTTATTGGTAAACGAATATTTCGTGCTATTTACAATGCTTGTACTTCTTGTCACGAATAATTCGTATTTATTTTATGATGCATTCGTAAAATACAAGAATGTTACGAAGTGAATGATTTTTATAATTAAACAAAACTAGATTCATACATAGTACGAGTCTATTTCGTTGCAGATAACAACGAAAAGATTCGTGGAATAAACGAGCGCTTTTGTTATATGTACTAAATTTTATTTTCAGTGTGAGAACCCCTAGAATGCTGTTGAAAAAGTTTGAAGATTATCAAGATTATTTTAGGAGAATCCAGAAAAGAAGTATGATGGAATTCTAGGATGATTCAAAGGGAACTCTGAAAAAATGACGAAGATATCCTGTAAAAAGTTCCAAGTAAATTCAGACCAGCAAAAAAATTTATGATCAGAGACCCAGAAAAAAAAATATAAATTCCAGAATTTAGAATCATTTCAAGATCCTGAGACTTCAAAAATGACGCTTTCAGACTTTCATTTGAGTTATATAATAAAATTATTCATTGGCATAAAATTATTCGTAATGCTCATGCGAATAGTGGAGTTACCCGTAGTTTAGGTAAAATGTTTGTGAGTACCACGATGTGAGGCTTTGGTTCTCACTTCAGCCAGGTGAATTTTTCATAAAATTAAAATTGCCTACTGGTTTACTAGGTGTTGTATGTTGTCAAGAATTAAATTGTAAGTCTGATCAACCTCAGGGTAATATTAGAATAGTTCAGAACTAATGACATCTTTCAGACATATTCTGGTACTGCATCAAATAGTAAGGGCTACTATTATTCTTCTATTATTCTATTATTATGTTGATCATCAATGTCATCAAAGTTGCTTGATTCTTTGCTTCTCACACTTTTTAAAAAAGTTACAGTTTAAAAATATTTTCTGCAGTATTTTAACTCATTTTTTGAAATTCTGTGTACTAGATATTTGAACTTTTAGGCACACCATGCCAATACTTTTCAACTTTTAGATGATTTTAGCAATGCTAACTATTTGCTTTATATAATTTATTTAAACATGTAATTTATAACCATTCTAGTACCTTACATAAATTCCAGATGATTATACTGACCTATTTTTACGGGAGATTGGCACATCACTTTGATTTCAATAGTATTATGTTAAAAAGAGGATTTTTTTGAGCATTCCAGATTTTTCCAGATTTTATATTTTACCTGGTCGAGATTTTTCTGAAAATGACCTGGCAACGCTGCGTGCCAACACACGGTGCCTGCACGGTAATGTGGGCCGTCAGAATGGTTCATCGGTTGCGAAGTGAAGTGCTTCTCAAACCGAAGCGATACATTTATCAATTTTTCAACGTTATCCTAACGTAAACTTAATATTATCACCTATATGCCCGTTCTCGCCCGAAACACATGCACCACACAAAATCAAATAAAAATATTTCTGTAAGACAAACACGTCCAGAAATAAACGAGAATATGGGTGTATATCATCGAAAATACTTGCATTTTACTCAGGCACTTTTGAGCAAACTGCAATCACTCTCTCCATTTCTTTTTATGTTGTACTTAAATGATATTTCCTACATACTTAAAAAATAAAACTGCAAAGAGGGAAGTCGAGAAATTTTCCAACCCGAAAAATTGTTAGACCGGACCAGGAATCGAACCCAGCCACCTCCAGCATGGTCTTGCTTTATAGCTACGCCTTTACCGACTGAGCCAAGGAAGGCCCCAAAGACCTTTTACAATTGTTTAATTAATCGATTGTTTTCTCTCTCTTTTTCCAGGTACGTTTTCTTCGTCTTTTTCACATGGATCGATTAATGCCTCGACAAATATTCAAGGTAACGAGCGGAAGTTACATCTACAGTATCCAGTACGCTTTCTAGCACTATCAATTATACTCTCCGGTTTTCAACTGGTTCTGTCGTTGCTAGACCGATACACAAATATTTGAGTTAAGGGAAACGGCTCTAATGTAGGCCTATGGATCTAAGATTGGGCCCATCGCTAAAAATCTGATATTTATCAATGGATATTTTGGTCGCTATTGAAAATTTAGTCGATTGCTGAATTTATGTATGGGCCGAAATTAGGGGCATTTAGGCCGACGTTACATCCATTTCTCCTATTTCATGTATATTTTTTTTTTTGATTTCACTAAATGGTCTAATGAAGGCCTATGAATTATATCTGACTAAAAATAAATCTTCTCTTTTGGACTACGTGTGCCAATTATGGCCTTAGGGATATTGGTTGAAGATTTTATTTGTGATTTTATGGCAAAATATATGTTCTAACCTTGTAACTTTGTAAATTAAAAGATTACTTGGGCAAAAGCAACTGATAGTTTTCTTTTGAGTTTCTATTTCTATACATTTTTGATTATTTGTCTTGTTTACTTTGTTATTTTAAAATATTATTCTTTATGGTTTTCATATATTTTTTTATTTTTCAAAATAGCTTTTTAAGGGAAAAACGTCGCATTTGTTTATTGCGTTCAGTGTTTGTTTTTATGTTTATGTAACATTCTTCTCTTCAAACTACGCGTTAATTCCTACAAGGATCGGTTTTCCGATTGAGCTACCTGCAGGCCGTAATAAAAATAAAACAATTTTTTTTCTAGAAGTTGCTTATATCATTCCATTTATTGATCTGCGCATCGATGTAGGACCGCGCATTGTCCTAAGGGATGTTCCCCATTACAAGTAATGATTACAGTTGTTTGCCAATTAAAAATCTCACACTCACACGCTTACAAATTGTCGTCTTTTTCTTACGTTAAATCAACTCTTCAATTCGCTTACTGCTAACACCTGGGATCCTCTTCCTTGGGCTCGGGCAGGTTTGTTTGTGTATCGCTGTCTGAATTTGGTTTATTAATTTTTGGTTGCAATGCTGTAGTTTTCTCGTTTATAAATTTACAATGCCAGCTGTCGCCGTTGCCCTGCGATCGTCACTAAATCGATGATCGATCAGGACTTCGTGGAAACTGCTGGCGGGAGTCGCTAACTGTGGCCACTTTTGAGTTTTGGTTGTCTTCGTTAAATAACAGGTAATATTTAATAGCACTAGCAATAATTTATCGACGCCGATGGTGATAAGTTAAAATAAATATTAATTTACAAAGGGACTCGTTGCTTTCTTCTATGTTTATGTTGCTTTCGTGGTTTGTTCCGGATTGATCGGATCGAGTTGAGTTTACATGGTACCGTACTGCTGCTGCTGTTGCTGCTGCTGTTGTTGTTGTTGCTGCTGTTGCTGATCGTAGTAGTACCGGTAAGGGTCAACACTGGCGGCCATCTTGGCTGGGTTGCGGACTACGTAGGCATTTCGTCTGCAGGTGGGAAGGACAGGGTGTTTATGAGTTAGTGCTTCCAGAGAGGGGAGGTAATGTTTGGTTTAAGATATTACCTGTTGTCATGTCCGGCATGAACCTGGAAGCTGGTTTCCTCATGGCGATCGTGGGCGAAGATCTTTTTTAGGGCCAGGATACCAGCGATGGTGAGGGCAACCTTCGAGATGACCAGAGCCTTACCGGCGACAGCAGCCAGAACCTTAAGACCGATTGGTCCGGCAATTCCCATGGCGGTCAGGACGGCAGCGATGATGTAGCGGTGGTGTTTGTTCTGACTTTTTCCACGGGCAGCAGCTCCTTCCTGCTGTTGCATGTCAACGCGCAGAGAGTGTGTCTGGAAGAACTTGTTCAGCTTGGCCAGGATCGAACGATCGACCTCGCCAAGACCGCTCAGAGCGCGGGCATCGGACAGTAGCGGGATGCTCACGTTTTCGGCAGTCTTCTGCTTGACCAGTGACACTCCGTCCAACAGTTGGACCGATTCCTGTGGGTAGATGGTAGAGTTAGTTATGTGTTGCAATCAATTCTAGTAAATGCAGTTTTTTTTCTCATGGCTTGGGCATAAACACTCTGATAATTTTGAGAGCGGAGTCACTGACCATTTAGTGCAATTTAGTCACCACTGTAACATTCAACTACAATGTTCATCGTCTATTAAATCACTCACTGACCGAGTATCTACCGTTAGCACTATTAACATCCCGGAACACCTAATCTCCCCTTCTTCACAAACTCACCATATCAACAGCGCGCGAGATGGCAGTCAGGGCCTTGCCCTTGAGGCAACCGGTGAAATCTTGCTTATCCTGGCAGTCATCGTAGACCTTCTGCAGCACACTCAGCTCACCAGTGAACCAGCTATTCTCGTTCTTCTGCCCGACGCGGGTCTGGCCGCGTGTCGTGGCGCACAGTGCGGAGGTGATGAATGAGGCAAGCAATAGATATTCCAACACGGTGCTTCGGCGTGACATTTTGTTTCTGTTTGCTGGGTGGCACTTGAGAATCACAATTCACAACTGTATCTCTCAGAAAGTCCCTTGATCACTTCCACGCACACGTTCTCTCACACAACCGTTCCGAAAGTTCGCGATGATTTATCCCAAAACTTCACTGCTGCTACTACTGGGCACTGCACTTAATCGATTGCAATCCGTACTGATACTGACTTAGACAATTGATATGCATCTGCTTTTAAAGTACACTGAATGCTCTGTTTAATCTTGGCCGAGGCTCCCTATGTGCTCCGGGGGGTGGTATATGCCTTGTGTGGGTATGTATCTTATGTTTCGAGTGCAGCACAACATATTTTCACATTTTTCATTTTCGACGCGATCGACGCGCAATTTTCTTTTCTTTTCCCTTTTTTTCCATTTCACTTGCGGGCGTTTGCGTTTCTGCCTGGGCCGTGGACATGCAATTTTCCGATGGTTTTCCCTCCCGCTCGCATCACCCACTATCATCGCTCGGTTATCCACCGTCGATCGTTACCGCTGCCGTTGGTGGTCGTTTGCTTCCGATTTGTTGGGCGAAAAATGTTAGCAAATTAGTAGAAGGTAGACATGGGCAGTGTTGTTTGTGGTTTGATTTTTTTTTCTTGCTGTGGAGCTCCTGTTTGCTTCTTAGTCGAAGCCGTCAACCTCGGACGGGCGATGGATAGTGAAGGTGTAAAAGTTGAATGAATTGTGAGTTTTTTTTTATGAAAGTAACACAACTGGGTGATAAGTGATGAAATTTTTGGACATAATATTCTAAAATTTATAAAAGGACATTCATGCTAAAAAAAAATGTGTGCCTTCTGTTTTCAAGCTATGTAGTTAAAATACAGTGTATCTCAAAATTGATCGTACATCTGAATGGGCAATTAAAGGGTGTCCACGATGAAATTGCTACACACAAAATTGATTCGCAAAATTCGAGTTTTCATCCGATTGCCATCAAATTTTCAGGGATTGAGAAATAACTATTAAACTTCATTTTACCATTTTACTCGTATTATATTTACAGTCCATACGCAAATTCCCGCACCTTGGCCTTAACCCCGACCATAAGATTCTGCACAACCTGTGAATCAACCGTTTTTTGCATGTAAACCCATACTTTCTTCAGTTCCCTTGACTGTCTTCACTACCTTAGGTCGTTTAAGAAGGTGCTGCTTCATAATCGCCCAGTACTTCTCGATGGGGCGGAGCTCCGGAGTGTTGGGAGGGTTGAACATTTTCGGCACGAAATTGACCTTATTGTCCGCATACCACTTCAGCACGTCCTTGGAGTAGTGGCATGAGGCCAAATCCGGCCAGAAGATTGTTGGGACGTTGTGGGCCTTCAGGAGAGGAAGCAGCCGCTTCTGGAGGCACTCTTTTATGTACACCTGTCCGTTCATCGTGTCCTGGGTCACGAAAGGTGCACTCCGCTTCCCGCACGTGCAGATGGCTTGCCAAACCAGGAATTTCTTCGCAAATTTGGACATCTTCTGAGTGCGGACATGCTCCGGAACGCTGAACTTATCCTTGGCCGTGAAAAACAGGTTGCCGGGGATCTGTTTGAAGTCGGCCTTCACATATGTTTCGTCGTCCATGATGCAGCATTCAACTTTCGTCAGCATGTTGAGGTACAACTTCCTGGCACGGGTTTTGGCGGACTTGTTCTGCTTCTCGTCGCGATTAGGGGCCTTTTGTACCTTGAACGTACGAAGTCCAGCCTTAGTTTTGGCCTTCTGGACAAAACTTCGGCTTAGGTGCAGCTTCTTAGCCACATCCCTAACGGAGGCGTTCGGATTTCGGTTGAAGGCCCCAACTACGCGGTTGTGATTTTTGGTGTTGTACGGAATACTTTTTCCTTCGCTTCTGGGCTTCCGATCGGTGGTCAACCGTTCCTCAAACCGCTTAATCACTTGCGACACCGTGGAATTCGCGATTCCCAACGTTTTAGCGATGGAACGATGCGAGAGCTCCTTGTTCTCGTGATGAATGCGCAAGATTTTATCACGCACGAGCTGTTCTTTCGACTCCATTTGCAGGATGTAAATAATGCACTATGAACTAAATCCACCCAAATTTTCATTAAATTCTACCCAACGGTTAAAAAGTTAGAGCAATTTCATAGTGTGGCAATTTCATCGTGGACACCCTTTATTTAAAAGACTGTGAGTAGATAGATTTTTGAAATCTTGGCTAGTGGTTGAACAACTATCTTAATCTTTATCAGTATACCTTTTAACTTTATTGGCAGAGTATGTATGAAGTTTGAGTAATTTCAGTAAAACGGCCGATTTTCAACTTTTTTCATAGTAGGCGGATTTTAGAAAAAATTGCGGCATTTTAAAGATCTTTAGGGTAGGTGTACCAATTATGGCCATACGTTCCTATTATGGTGTGTTCCAGTTATGGCCTATGGAATTCCCATAGGCCATAATTGGAACACACCATAAAAGGAACCTATAGCCATAACTGGTACATCTACCCTATTATGACTACAGATGAGCAAAATTTCAACATTTTTGGTTCATTGTATTTCAAGAAAATGTGTTTATTTTTAGGAAATAGCTCTAACTTCTTACACACTCATCCAAATAAGCCCAATACTATACCCATAACCAATAAATGATGATGAGCAAGCAGCCAAAAATTTAGAAATCTAACTTTTTAAGTTGTGCGCTTGTACAGCTGTTTTTTTCTGAAATTTACGGACAGCTGTACGCTCAATTTAGCAGCGCCGGTGGTGTGAGCGTGATTACCTCTCACCCGAGCAGGCCTGGGTTCAATCCCAGTCGGCGCCGCCGGGATGTTCTGAGGCATAACATCTCTGATCACGTCTGAAGTAAAGCCGTTGGTCGCCGGTTCATGAGTTGATGGGTCGATAGGTAGGGTCCAGGTGTGGGAGCTGCCTCCCTAGCGTCGGTAGCGTCGGTAGCATTGGTGCTCAGCACGGAAAACAAGATCTACGGAAAACAAATCAAGGAAAAAATGTACGCTCAATTTTGAGATACACTATGTATAACTAGCGTTTACTTATGTAACATTTAACACGTGTATTTGTTACTGACTTCTACTCAGAACTCTATCAAAGTGTTTTAGGAGCTTTCGGATAGTTTGCATTTCGAGTGTGCTTTAAAGATTTTTACTGAAAAGATTTGAAAGTCGGTGGGTTTATATTACTCCTAGGCAAGTTTGGTTAACTTTCAATGGAGGGGGAGGGTTGAGTTGGGGATCGTCTAAATTTTTTCCAAAACTGTCCCCGTATTTACAAAATGAATAGACAGTTTTTGATAGGTTTTCGACTGCCTTCCCCCACCGTAGCCAATCGTCCATAAATTCTTTAGACATTTTTTATGGGCCGTTTTACATGCGCCATCAGAATAACCAACAGGTTAACAGGCAAAAATTGGTTTATTGCATAACAGCCTTCGTAACTCTCGGCATACCACGTTTTCTAAATATTCCGCTAAGATTCTTCTCAAAATTTGTAAAAGATTATTTTAGAAATTTCCTAGCAATTATCTTAAAAATTCCTTTGAAAACTACCGCATTCCTTTTCTCTTGTAGACCTCGCACTTGTAAAACATCGAAAAACTTGTAACGTTACTTGAGTTAATTTTGTCATATTTAGCTGTTCCAATCAAACCGGGAAAATGATGTTAGACAAACCCAGTTGTGAATCTGCAATGTTCCTCACCCATGGTTTTGCACATAACTCGGATCGATTTGTGGTCTTCGACAATACTGTTCTGCCAAATTCAAGGACTGCTCATTTTATAAAATGGACATCGAAAAAGCCTGTATCTTTTCCATTTTATGTTGCACCCGTATTGTTTAAAGGGAGGTTCTCATTCAAATGTCCAAAAAGTAAGCAAAGTTTGGCATTTTTTTGTGCGCCAATGAAAAAAAATCATAGAAGGACGTGGTTTTGAAATTAAAAAAGCTTAGAACTTCGTCTTTATTTCCACAAGGCGAAAAAACAAAATGGCGCCCGTGGTCACGTTTTAAGTAAGGTAATGTACGCCTGAAATGGTCAAACTGCGTACAGCCTAGTATCTCTGGATCGATCTGAAACACAACACGATTAATGAGGCTTTAAAGTGAACTAAATGTATTGGAGGAATGACCTAAGAACGGGTAAAAAACTTCAAATTTGACGAAATGGTGCGATCTCAAACGTTTTGGTCGATTTTTCACCCCTTTTTTCCTCTTTTAAGACTTCAGACAAAATAGTGAATACAAAGAATTTGTAGATTTTATAGGTCATTCCTCCAATGAAAAAGGTTTTCTTTCGAATGGTCAAGGTAAAAGTTGTTAAATTGAACCGTTTTCAAATGAAATTGAACGCAGTTTTGAAAAATCGTGTCTCGAGATAAACGCGTTTAAAGTCATGGCGGCCGAGACGCCGCTTCGTACAATGGCCTGTAGAAACTTTGTTTGTGCGCGGATCGAAAAACCCTTTCAACACAATATAGTAATATACCTTTCAAAAAATGCAATAATAAAAAATCGATTTAAAACAAAATTTAATGAGAACCTCCCCTCAAGTCTCATGCATGGTCAATATTGAACAATACGTAAATTTTTGGCTCGCAAATGATTATTAAATCCAGATCGCAAACAAATTAGTTCCTATTGAGAAGAGAGTTCGTCATACAATTTTAAATTTTCTTATATATTTTTTTGGGATTTGATCAAATTATAAAGGGTAAGATAAGATGAGGAAAGATGGGTCCCGGTGCAAGATGGATCAGCTAGTTAATTTATTTATTTACGTTTGTCAATATCAACAGGTTCAATGCAACCCCAATGATGGTTTGCTTTCATGCCTGTTGATGGTGACAAACAAAGCTATAAAGAAATCAAGTACATGACCTATCTTGCCCCAGCTTACTCTAATTGTTAAATTATTACAAGACTACCCTTGACTCAGCTCCGTAAAACTAACGCATTGAACCTTCCAAATGAAAGGAACTAGCTAAGCCTACCGTTGTAGCTTCTTTAAGTTCGCATTCACTTTTTGCTCTTCTAAGATTTAATTGCAAACCTGTATCGATCCACATCGCTTTAATCACATCGAGCACCCAATCCAAGTTGAAACCCGGTGGGTATACCATCTTGGATATGAAAATGGTGCCAGGCATGAATTTTCGGTAACTACATGTCATCGATGGTGGCCAGCGATCCGGGAAAACCGGGAATTTGATAAGTAACTTAATAAATTTCTGAAATTTCCATGATCTCTGTGTTATGTAGATTTCAACTTTATCAGCTTATGTGTAACTTTTCCAAATGGTTTAATATTAACCTTAAAAATAAACATACATTTTGTTTTCCTTAATTACCTTTGAATTCTGATCAGAATAATCATGAGATTATCCTTAAACTCACAAGAAAGTACCCTTGGAACTCTTCTCGTATCTTAGAATTCAGAATTCCCTTGAAACTTCCCTAAGAATTACCTCGGAATTCTCCATAGAATTCCTTTAAAATTATCCTAAAAATTCAATTAGGTGCTTTAAAAATATTCTCAAAATGAAATTCTCGCTAAAATTATCTTGCAATTATTCTTAAAATTCACTTGCTATTCTCCTACAGATGCCCAGAAATTATCTTTAATGTTCTTTTCACAACTCCCATGGAAGTATTATAGGTAGGGGAAATGGATGTAATGTCGGCCTAAATGCCCCTAATTTGGGTCCATACAGAAATTCAGAAGTCGACTAAATTTAGAATAGCGACTAAAAATATCCATTAGTACCGTCCCAATGACGCGTTCATCTAGATAAAATTGATGAACAGCAGATTTTTAGCGATAGGCCCAATCTCAGAATCATAGGCCAATAAGCCATTT